CTCTCTCTCTCTCTCTCTCTCTCTCTCTCTCTCTCTCTCTCTCTCTCTCTCTCGCTGTCTCGTACGCTCTTATTGGCGCGTCAAAGGCGGAAGTCTCTTTCACTGGACTTCGAAGAATTCAATGAACTTTGACAAGATATTACCAGAATTCTCAAGAGTGGTTTAATTCTGATACAATTTGTATCCCTTTGGACTGATTTAATTTTATTAAGTGCAGAAAATGTAACATGTAGTGCAACTATAATACAGAGACGTTACAACGTGCATGCTGCAATATTTAATGCAAGATTTACTGAAATATTTTACGTGAGGAACATTTCGATATTATATTTTTGATGTGTATTCTTTTTAAGACAAGGAAAATAAGATGAATGAAATAAAACGATGTTCCTTAATATTTATTTCTTATGTCTTATATAGAGTTACATTTTAAATTATATGCATACAAATTATGGAGATAACCACACGTTGCAGTGAGTCCTTATACATTGTGGGGCTAAATAATTAGGTAGAAGAAAAAGGAAACAACTATTTTTAATTTGATTTCAAGGCACATATTCACTCTACTCGTTTAATCACGATTGATGTATATATATAATCGCATTAATTCTGTTGTCCGTTCCTTTTCATATTTCGATAATCTTTAATTCATGTTCTACATTATTAACGCATTGCGAAGGTATTAAAATAAATAATTTCTATTTTTCCATTACAGCCAAATTATGATACGTGAAATTACCTCTTTATTGCATATACGTCGATAAAATTAATTTTCCCACACCACATACATTAATTAATATTGTGAATAATGAAATATATTAATCTGTTGAGATATACATATATATATGTATATATATATATTCATTTGTCCTGATATCTCTTTCTATTTTATGGAAATATGTGTTGACCAATATATTTCGCCAATTACATCGCCAATTTTAAATAATTTGACTACGTCGTGTGGATCATTGACCCAAGCGTTGACCCAAGGTATTTCTGTTTATTATATTTGTTAGATAAAATATATTTCATAATTGTTAAAAAGTACAAAAATTATTATTATTAATTTTACTAATTAGAAAGATTTAATATACCAATACACTATATTATAATTATATATCCACGTATATATAATATCAGTAAATTATATTATAATTTTCTTCTAGCCAAAATATTTAATGGTCTGAACAGAAATTTAGGCGTGGATTACACTAATGTGTTAATTAATATTTATAATCATGTTTATATCAATAATTAAAAATAAAAATTATAATTAGTTAATGATGTAAAAAAGCTTTAATGATTAAAAAAGCACAAAAATTATTATTATTAATTACTAATTAGAAAGATTTAATATACCAATACACTATATTATAATTATGTATCCACGTATATATAATATCGGTAAATTATATTATAATTTTCTTCTAGCCAAAATATTTAATGGTCTGAACAGAAATTTAGGCGTGGATTACACTAATGTGTTAATTGATATTTATAATCATGTTTATATCAATAATTAAAAATAAAAATTATAATTAGTTAATGATGTAAAAAAGCTTTAATGATTAAAAAAGCTCGCTGTTTAATTTGTGAGTTAATTTAATAAATAAATATAAATCTTGAATAACTATTGTACATATGATTCTTTTTAGCAAAAAAATAACTTGCATGAATTCAATGTTATACTGATTCAGACTTGCATGAATTCAATGTTATACTGATTCAGTATAGAAAAAAGGAAACTTCTTAATATATTTCACTAATTTATACTTAAACACGATTGATAACATACAAAAAAATCAATCTCTTTTTTACATATTATGAAAAAAATTTACTTTAAAAAAACTAATTTTTCAGTTTTGATGTTACTCACACAACACTGTAGTTTTTCTAGAAGAGTCCAGAGAGGACATCTAGGTTGTAGCACCTCTAAACTTCTTTAAGATGTCCTTTGCAAAACTGTGTTGTATGGATATAATTCAATATAGTTGAAATGAAAAAATAGAGAAGTCTTAACTTGGACGGACTCCGAAAAGATGTGAATTAGAGCACAGAAATTGACACACCAATTCAACTAATTGTAAGTGAATTATTATATCACACACCATATAATTAATCAAAATCGCTTCCGACAATTTTATTCTAATATTATCATACATGATAATAAAATACGACACTTATGTGCAGGGTGCCGCTTAAAATACCGCAACTTCATGAAAATTTCTTTTTCACTGTAGGATTCTCAAATATATAATGCCACCAAAAATGTTAATATTCTAACAAATAATTATTTGCAGATCTAGCTAAATTTTTAGATACTTTAATAAAACCGGGATATATTGGTATGTGTGTGTTTTCTGTTTTATGTACGCGCGCGCGCGCATACACATACCGTTGGTATACATATATAATATATATGTTCCTCGAATTGGTCGCCACGATTTTTTAGATACGTCCAACGGATTGACAACATTGGTTTCTAATAAAGAATTAGTTACATAAGAAAAATTTCAAATTTCTTCATTTTTGATTACAAATTTAAGTCTAATTATGTTTAATTCTTTCCATATTCTTACAGTGCATAAAATGATAAATTTATTATAAGCATTATGTATCATTTTGATTATTTGATTTCGAGATAATTCAATTAATATTTTAGGGAGAATAGATATCTAGAAAGGTAAAAAAAAAAATTAATTCTTTTACATATTTTTAATAAAAGAGGACGGGTAAAAGTCGTCGATTTTTGCTCTCAACCAATAAATAAAATGTGTACGTTTTTTTATAATTTTTAGATTACAGAATCACGTGGAGCAATTAAGTCTGCCATAAACATGAAAGGAACATAATAAAATAATGTGACATATGTAGACCTATAAATCCGAATCTTAAATTAATGACAATCTAAAAAATTAATGACATTCACATTGTTACATATATTCCCTTGTTTATAGAAAACTGTTTACTTTATTTTAAATTCCTCCCATTTAAAAATTGTTTCTTGGACATTTTTATATTAAAATTTTCGTTAAAACGTTATAAAAATTTTATTATTAAAATATTTATCGTTAGTTTTGGAAACCCTATATATTGTGTATCATCTTAATGTATCAACTTAATCATTTCATTTTTCCTTATTTTAGAAAAATTATTTTATACTTTAAACTTCACAATTTTAGATTTTAAAATTTCATAATTTTGGAAAAAGAATAAACGCATACCATTAATAATTTTTTATATTACATATTTTATCAAATCTCAACGTTATATTTTTTGAAATAAGCATTTGATTTTTTGTATAAGTTTCAATAATTATACAAAATGTTTTTTCATTTATATAAATTTTACATAATTCATAATAACTTTTGTATAAATTAATTTTTTTAATCTAAAATGTAAAAAAAAATGTCAAAGTAAAGCCACTGTGAATTTTCGTGGTTTATAAGGTATTTCATATTTTATATTGATATATATATACGTATATATATTGTATATTTTGACATAATAAAAAAAATATGAAATATCTTATAAAATACTAATTTCTTAATAAGTTTGTCTTTAACTAACTTTATTATTATGCATAGAATGAGACAAACTGATTAACTTAAAAAAAATCCTAATTATATATTTTCTTCTAATTTAACGACATGTTTTTATTTTGAAATAAAGAACAAATAAGATACGTATAATTGATATAAGTATATTAAAACATATTCTATTCTATGTGTACATGTATGTATATGTAAAATTTATATATATATATATTATATATAACACGTTGCTTAAGAATATACAAGAGATACTTTCTAATTATTCGAAGGCACGATGCGTGAATTGATTTGCCGCAAGGAGTACTCCATTCTTAGGTCATTCTCCAGGCAAAGAGAAATATCAAAAATAAAAGAAAAAAATTTTTTTAAAAAGTTTGATAAAAAGATAAAAACAGAAAATTGAAATGAACCAATGGCTATAGTGCAAACAGAATAATAGATGCGGCAGAAACGAGTATCAAAATAAATAAATCAAACAAAGAATCTTTATACGATATAGAAATCATATATTTAGAAATAATGAATATTTTCGTTGCTTATATCTCTAACTTTATGGAATACATCAAAAGCACTAATAATATATTACTTATCATGTAACACTGCCGATTATATCAAATATTTCAGCGGCATAATCTAATAACATTTCAATCAAATTACGATGTCTTATTTTATTAATAGCCGTTTCGATATTTATAGTTATATGTATATCAGTTATATGTATATATATTATATACGTTATGGTGGGAAAAACAAGGTGTATCAGAGGGCGCATAATAGCAGCAATAAAATCGGGGCAGTCAAAAGTAATCACAAATACAACTACAAAAAATGTCAATTTCTCATTTTTTATTTCTGTCAATTTCCGCCGACAAATGTCAATTTTTCTGGAGGAGATAAAAAATTTAATTTTTTTTAAATTAGTAAAAATGGTTATATATATGGTATGTATAATCCAAATCAAGGACGCAGACGGTATAGCGCAATAAATAAAATGTGCAAAGTTAGAACATAAAATAAATATTTGAATTAAAACGTTTCAGTTCTTTAATCTTTTTTATATATAGTGTATATCATCTATGTGACTTCTACAATTTTTTATACAACATGTCGGCACACTTCTAATCTGTCTAACTCTCGATTGACATTTGACAGCTGACTTAGCGCAAACTATTAGCAGCCATATTGCTTTTTAACATTTGTAACCAATCCCTGATTGGTTATTCATTATAAACGAGTGAGCTTCCCTGGGAATAGCACACCTTTTTTCCCATTATTTTTTTCCACCATCATGAGGTCTGTTTTTTATTTCTACATTCTCTGAACTGATGCATACGATGCAATAAATTCAAGTGAAACAAACATATATTTCACTTTAACTTATTGCACTGTGTGCGCATCAGTTCAGAGAGTGCAGGAATAAAAACAGATATATAATACGTATGTACGTTACTAATATACATTATAGATAACGATGATTGCTAACGGTAGTAATTCCACTGTTTTCTCTGTAGCCCTTTTGTATTATGACAATAAACACGAGAACTCATGTGATTTTTTTCTATACGCTATATTAGTCGTATAATATGTACGCATTATATACGTATTCTACGTCAGAATAAATTAACATCCTCACGTATACTTTTGATAATATGTACAGATAAACCGAGAACTCATCTTTTGATTGATAAGCAATTTTTGATTAACTGTTATATTATTTATTTTCGTCAGAAATATAGAACGTACATAGATTAAATTACAAATTAAATTAATTCGGTATAGTAAAAATAAATTAAATTATGAATTAAATAAATTTAGAATAATAAAAGAAAGAATTGGATATGTATATCATTTTTTATATATTATTTCAATCTATATCGCACGCAAATAAGTACACGAAATAAATATTACAATGTACCTATAAAATGAAAAGCAAGAAAAAGGAAAAATGTTTACATGGCTTCACTTTCTTGTTTCTTGCGTTATATTATAATTCGATGCGGTTTCAGTGAGGAAACAAAGACCATCTGTCTAAGCGCATTCAAATTGCGTTCAAGTCACTACCATTTGTTATATCTTTGTGCCTGTTAACTTACTGTTAAGGAAGAAGAAAGAAGATTCATACTCGCTTTTCTCTCTCTGACCTTTCTTCCTTAACGGCAGTTAAGTTCTCACCACCTCGACGTCGACCACCAGTGAATCGCGGTTTGATTACAAAATTAATATCTGATATTTCATGTAACAACACACAAAATAAATTTTTGCATTCGCGTGTTCTTGGATGTAATTGTAATTCGGAAATAATCACATATAGATACTGATCAAGTTAACTTTTTCCCTAAGACGGGAATGTGAAAAGTAAAAAATTTTCTATTAACTTCAATAGTAAAAATTTTTACTTTTACTAAATATAATAAAATAAATTGCCAATGTGAGCCGACACAGGGTGTTCTTTGTGTAATTAACAAATCATATATTGTAAATAATATAATTACATACAATATAAGAATCCTATTAGATATATGTGAGAACACAATTATAATTACAAACGTTTCGACATTATTATTGTATTCTCTTCCAAGTGTAAAGTAACGAAAAAATCCAAATTACATAATTAGCATCACAATTCAATCAATATAAATGTTATCAGAAGTAAAAAAACATCGTTAAACTGTTATAAACTATTATCTATATCGTATTTCATCGGATAAAAAAATTAAATAATGAACATTGGCTAAGTACTAAAGTTTTAATATAAACCAATAAATAATGTATTAAGATTTACTTGAGAACAGATTAATCATGTTCTATACAGATTGATAAGAGACGATTTGAATTTGTTGAGGTTTAAAATGTTTATGAGAGGTCAAAGACAAATGAATTGTTTATAAGAAATAAAAAGATAAACTATAAATAATAATACGAATATATATACTCTTGAAAATTCAAATATAAATTATAAAGTATGGAAGCAACATTTATTCACAAACAACGATATAACTGATCTAATAAATCAGCGTTTTGTATATTTAAATCAACCTCTGTGTTTTGATAAAAATTGCTTCTGAGATAAGTCGTTTAAAGACCTTTTTTTCTGTCAATATTTTGACAATTTATTTTGTACACTGCATTAAAACGTAATGTTACTTTTACCTTAGGGAAAAAATTATATGATCGATATCCTGAGTGCTTTTTACACTTCAGCAACATTAAAGTCGCAGTCGTTTTCTTTATTAATCGAGAAAGGACCCCGCACATTTTTTTAATGAAAAAACCGTCTTTTATCAAATCTAAATTTTTTATATAATTACTTTTATGATATTGATAAGAAATATTTCAGTAGGTATAACTTCAAAATAAGCTCAACTTTTATGATTATGGAATCTTATATAATTCATTTATTATTTAGAATTTCGTAATTATAAAAATTGAGTTTTTTAAGGTCATGCTTGTTGAAATTTTTAATCAGTATCATAAAAGAAATCACAAAAATTTAGCCAATTTGATTAAAGCCAGTCTTTTCATAAGAAGTGTTGCGAGGTTCTTTAATCTACCTTTCTATTTCTTCTTTTTTAAGTAGATATTCATTAAATCTATGTATATACATAAAATGTGTGAGCTCAAATAGTATCTAATAAAGACCCCCTAAAAGAAGCCGTGAAACGAGCCGATTTGAGCCGATTTTTGCATGCAGGGATAGTTTTAGTAAAATCTATAGTAGAGAGAGAAATATATTATGTATCTCTATTCTCTGCCTAATCTTAACGTACATTTGTACATACGTGTGTAAGAAACATGATAGTAAATCGATGGCGATGCACAATAATTTGTAAATTAAATGTTAAAGATATAAACAAATTTTGTTTCTTTTTCTTTACGTACCAGAGCAGGTATCAATTGTGTATCTTGAATCGTGCGAAAGTTACAGAATTGAGTAAATTTATTAAAAGTACTAATGAAATTATAAATATTCCATTGAACTTTTTTACTTTTGTATTTTTTTTAACCTCGATTTACGATACACAATCAAATCTTTAAATTTTCAAAATAATTTTGTGAATAAAAAGGTGTTAAACTAAACAATTTTTCTCGTATGCATTATTTCGGCACGTAATATGAGACATTTATTTGTTAATACTTTTAAATTATTTAATTTTAATTATATTGTTGAAATTTTGAAGTAACACAAATATTATAGGTATTAAAAAATATAAGGTGGAAAACATGGATGAACCAATCAACGCGCAACTGTCGTGACTCTTATTAGAGGGTCTCTATATAGTATCTAATAAATTGTAGAACAATCAATAATATGCAATATGTAATTAATAATAGTGTCTTTTAATTAGATTTTAAAAATCACTCTTGGTAAATGATGGTTTACGCAAAAAAAAAAATTAAATGACTAATCCCGGGTTAACGATAATTGCTGTTCGCGCATTTTATCGCAACCGTAGTACGGGATGTTCTCTCAAATTTAAGTAGAATTAAAGACTTAAATTGTTTAGTTTATCTTATTTCAAAAAAATGCTATTATTCATGCCACTCATCATCGTATGAAACGGGAAGTCGAGGGATGCATGCAGAGAGAACGCTTCCGTTTTATACGAAGAACCGATGATTCCTGAGAGATATTTGCGAGAGGGAGAAAAGGAAGGGAAAAGGGCATCGAAGGGTTTAGAGGGTGTCCAACAGATCGAGAAGCTCCAGCTGATTATTTTCGTCCCAACCGGCAATCAACAAACTCGTGAAGTCGTCCTCGCTCAAGCTCACCTGCGTGGACTCCGGCACTTCCGACAGATTGTCCGTTATGGGGGGTGACACGCTACTAGGCGGGGTCTCATACAGTGTATTCGACAGACAGCTGGTGGGCGGCGTGCAGCTGCTGCTGGTCTGAAGAACATTGAGCGTCGTCGCTGACGCTACCGTTGTCGTCGTCGTCGTCGTCGTTGTTGTCGTCATAGTAGGAGATTGCCTCTTTGTACTTCGAGTCCGCTGCGAGATCGCAGAACGGCGCCTAGACCGTTTGCCTTCCTCCATTCTTTCGAGATCCAGCTTCCAGAAACCACCCTTGCCTGGCTCGTCTTTGGAACGTGGCAGCTTCAAGAAGCACTTGTTCAACGAGAGATTGTGTCGAATTGAGTTCTGCTCGAAATATATAAACGATAAAAATATTTACTATTTATTAAAGAACTTGCTCGTAGCCTCTTGTTTTATTATAGTTAAATACATTTAATATAATTTAGATAAAATACATTATTGATTAATTCAAGAAATAAAAATAAAAACAAGAACTACAATCGTAAAATCCGTTTACCTGCCAGGCTGGATCAGCATACTTGTAAAATAAGAAATTTTCTCGAATCCATGCGTAGATGTTTGAAAGGGAGACCTTATTGTTATTGGCGCGCATCGCAAGGCAAATGATAGTGGCATAGGAAAACGGTGGTTTCGCATCGGGATCTGTTCGATATTTCTCAGCATTTTCCGCCAGATCTATAGTAGACGAAAAATCAAAAGAAGATTATCCACATAATTGTGCAATATTTATTACGAAGTGTATTTCTAGCAATCTTTTTTCGTTCTGCGATTAAAGTTCGGTATATCTTATATCTATAGACACAATTATTTTCAAAATATTTTGACCAAATAATTTATTTCATAAAATTTCATAAAAGTTGTCAATGTATACAAGAAATAAGGCGGGAAGCGACAGAAATACAAAAATAAAATTAATTTAAGAAACAAATACAATACATTTTCAATAACAAATAATTAAGATAAATTTTTATGACTTGTATATTTCTCAAACAGATACAAATAGCATAATAAATGTGCGAAATAAGAAATAAGTTTTTTTAACCAATAACAAGCGATGGCCTAAAACTTATTTACGATGTCACTTAGGATTGACAATATAAGTCAAGGTCAAGGTCTACAAAATGAAGTTGACCGGTATTTTTACCAATTGTTTTGTTAATAACTTTTTAACGCATAATAACCGAATGAAATTTGTCGGAGTTTGTACTCAGCATCATGACCACGATAATAATATGTGTCAAGGTCAAAATCAGAGCAGTTCTCTCTCTCTGTACGGTATATTTACACAATTAAAAATTGTGTATGTGTGTATATATGTGTCAGCGCACGATTTATTTTTAGATATATAGCAATTTATAAATTAATGAAGTAAACAGTTTTTAGTATATTTTCTAACAAAAAGTCGACTCTATCAATTGTGTTGTTTTGTTGAAACATATTTCCATATTAATACATACTTTGCATGAATGTTTATTGTATATTTTCTCTCTTTTTGACATCGTACAAGATTTATGACTTCAGAAGTGAGAAAAAATGCACAATATAGAAATATATTGATAATAATGGTATAGCATAGCGAATAGAAATTTGATAATTTATAATAAATTATCAATTTATCACGAGAAGAAAAATAGAAGACTTAAGCTTTTAAATAATTTTTAATGATTTTTGAAATTCCATTAATAATAATAGATAATAAAAATTGTGCTCACAATTCTCTCTTTCTAAATTAAATCCTTAAAACCTGAAATAAATCCTCGATACCTAGTTCAGCTTTGATCAAAGGCGACAATTTCTTCGGGGGTTGGCGGATGATCGGCGGCGGCGATGGCGAACAGGGTGGCGTCGGCAAGCCGGACGCGCTAGTAATATCCAGGGACTGCAACCAGGAGAGGCTTGTCAACTCGGCCTCGACTCCATCGTAGTCGTCTGTGCTATCCATGCTACTGCTATCCACTGTGGCGGCGGTGGTGGTAGCAGCTGTGGTAGACGGGCTATCCTCCGTCGATACTTCAACTTCTACTAGATCGATCCTCATTTTTATCGTCTTTCATTACCCGCACCAGCGCGATAAGCGCCTATTAAAAACAATAGTTCTTCGTTGCAGCGTTAATTCTTCCTAGAAGGCGTGTTCCTCACGTTTTAGAGAGTCATCGAGAGTTCCGACAGACTAACAGTAATCGATATTCAAGTTAAGTTTCGTAAATTGTAAGCGATAAGGGGGTACTAACGATTTTGTTTGGGAAGTAATGATGATCTGTCACTTTTCTGTCCACTCACAGACCTTTAGATAATATCACGCAAAACGAAGAAAAGTTACTTAAATTCCGACTGTTTCAGAGCTTGTCACGCGCGTTACTTGGAACTCATGATTCACCAATTTATTGGAATGAAAATGTCTTCTGACGTCATGAGAAATAACACAACCGCGCGTTGATATAAAACTTTCCCTTTTCTTCTTTATTTAATCTTATGTACTAGTGTTATATACATATAAATATATAACGTCTTGTTGGAATTCACACATATTTCCCCGCGCTCTTTGACAGGCAAACGGCATTAATAATGCGTCACCCGTTAACACTGATCGTTCGTGGAAAAGGCACAACATTGATCACAATCTTATAGAGCGAGGAATTTGCATTGAGAAAAGAAGAAGATTACGATACTGCATGCTCGAAATTGAAATTGTTTTACGTTATTTTTTCGTAATAAAAACGAGAATAAATGCGCGTATATATGACATAAGCGTTTAACGACGACTGGCTACGAGAGAGTGGCGTGCACACGGCATGGTCGGGCGAGTTCGACTGGTGGTAGCAAAGGGGTGGAACGCACTTGGCTGGCTGGCTACCCTGCTACCTGCTTACCAGCGACCTGACAGAACACCTTAGTGCGCGCGTGTGGTGACAGGTGCTAGATTCCCTCTCGCACAGGTGGACCATGTACACGCGTCGCTGGCCAGACCCACCAACACGACTCTCTTTCTCTAATACTTTCCTTTTCGTCGACCCTTCCCTATAACTGAAATCAACGAAGAAGCTTGTAATCCATTTATGGCGATTGGCGAGTATGAGTGGCGACGCTGAAATATTTCAGATCGCAAATGACGTATGTCGATTAGACGATTATATTAATTAAATTAAGATAATCGTCGAATATGCATATTTCAGCAATTTATGAACGTCATATATTGAGTTTTTTTTTTTCTTTTTTTTCATACATTTGAGATATAAAGATCCGAATTATATTATAAATATTATTAGAAACTGGAAAAATGTGAGTCTTAAAAATTTTTTTAATTGTGAATGTCTTGAAGTTTTTGAAGGTCTTGAACATCTATAAATAATTTATCCTTCAATGTATTTAAATCTTAGGTATATACAGAAACATTTTACAAATAAAATTGTTATCGATTATGTTAGCAAATAAATAGAGAATAAATAACTTGATAAAAAAAAAGTCTTTCGAAACCATCATTGATTCTACATTCACTTTTCATAAATTAATCTCCTTTTGTAAAAAAATATTTTTAATAGTTAAATAAGTATATTACAATAAGAACAATAAGGCTCTGATGAACATAAATACAATTAATACATCTCGAAAGATGTATTCATACATCTAATTAATACAATTAATATATCTAGATTATTCAAGCTACGCTAGGTGTCTTTCGTGATTTTTATCAAACAAGTCAATACAACTTTGTTAAATCATGATTTTATTTATTAACTTGATATTGTATTAATTGAAAAAATATTCCTATTTTTTAAAGAAGCCTATTTAAATAAATAAATTTTGAAATATGTCATAATATATTTACGTCCTATTTTAATTTAACTATGAAAATACATTGTAGATAATTTTTTTATTAGCGCAGAATCATATATATAAATTTATTTCAATAGATTTTTATAATCGCTCTACTTGTATTTATATTTATAGCAAGCCGGTTACTTTTTAATAGCATAAAAAAATGTTGTTCATCGTAAAAGTCTTAAAAAGTTACCAAAAAAGAATTACAATTTTTATTAAGGAATTAAAATTATGTCATATATAACGAATATAATAATTCCATAAATTAAAAAATTATACAAACTATAAAAATACATAATTTTTATTATATTTTGTCATAATTTTAATTCCCTGGTAAAAATTTATTTTTATTTATTTTTATAAATATATTTATATCATATATGTATATATTTGTACATAAAAAGGTTTTAGCAGATCGTCAAATTATTTTTATGTTGCAACATAATAGATAATAATTCCGAATTTCTATTATATTTCCATATATTGAAATTATTATTACATCGCGACATAATTATATAATTTTTGTATATAGAACTTTGAGTTTTTAATATCATCAAAATCAGATAAAATTTCTTTAATGTTATTAAAAAGTTAAACGCTATATACCCAAGCGTCTGAAACAAGTTTAAACATTTGAAAAAAATTTCCCTGCTTTTTATAAAGAGTAGTTAATTTCAGATTTTCCAAATGTACTATCTGTACGTGTACATATAACAAACGAAGGCGGTATACGTGCATTTCGTTCTGTCAGTGTTATGTAGGCGGGGGTGAACGCAGTTCGCCCACTCGTCTTGGTACAGGTGCCTCCATTGATCGAATCGAGGGAGGCAGCGACCGCCAGTTACGATAAAGCCGGCGAGCAAGAGGGGTAAAAGCCACGGCTATTCGACCGAGACGAGAGAATGGCGGATTTACCCCGGACATCATCATTGGTCGACGTCCATGCGGGATCGTTAGCATGAGATTCGTCAGCCTACTGACTCAACAAAGACGTAGAACAGTTGCGTACGATACGTACACGTAAACCTTTTTGGGTGTTCTACAGACAATTGACTCTCTTCCAGGGACAGAAGGAAAAATATTACGAACAAATGTTTTTATAATAAGGCAACAACTCTAAAGGACGAACACTTCCAATTTTAAAATGTGTGCGTCGAAATTTTATTTCAACGGTAGCACTTATATATATATAATATATATACAATATACATTGTCGACCAAAAAGAAATCTTAAAATGTCTTAAATCTTGAAAATGTCTATAGATATTATATAAGATAAAATCAACTTATATGTATATAATTTATATGATTTAATCATTTTTATTATTTCATTGTTTTATAATAAAATAATAAAAAGTAATAAAAGTATTTAAAAGTTTTACAGAAAATATTTGTATAAAGTTTTTTTTACAAAAAGAACAGAAATGTATACTTTTTTTATTAATTAAGTAATCTTATTGCAAGTTTATTATTTTTTAGAGTTTATTTATAATTTTAGGAAAGGTATCTTTATGACTGTAATCTATTTTCTTAAAATTAAACAATGCTATATTAATCATAACTATAATGGTAAATATAATACCTATTTTATACTTTTAAATTAAGAAAGAAATTAAGAATATTAAGACATGAAATGAATTTTTAAGTTATATTTTATTAGAATATTCTTAAATCTTATATGTGTCCTCAATTTGTTTATTCGACAGTATACATATATGATAGATATTATGTAGATATATTCTTATTAATTTATAATTCATTCATGATAAGTACCTACTTAATATTGAATTCTCATCAAGTATCTCGTGATAAGTTCACTATTGAACTTACAAAATTTTGAAAAACAAAAACATAGATTAAAGTTACAAAATTCGCTTCGGTGAAAAAAGAATGCGTTATATTGACATTTTGTTATAAAAACTCTTTTGGTTCTAATGTAATTAGAATTGTGTTAACAAATTAATGTTTCTATTGTAATACGGACATTAATATATATGTAACACAATTACATACACACACACACACACACACATATGCCGGATATTCCTGGGTTAAACCTAAACAATATTGAAATATCTCTTGATTATGTTTTGAAAGTGAAAAATCATTAACAGGCTTTTGTTTGCACTATAAATAAAGCTATATAATGCAAACGTGGAGGAATTGCAGACACATATAATGTCAGTTAGCCTCTTGTTCCTTCATTGATAAGCGCAATGCTTATTTCAAAATTGGAAACCATTTTTTCAACAAAATTTTTTATAATTACACATTTTGATTTTTATAAAGCAATAAAAAAGGATAAATCTAGATCATATTGACATTTTATTCCAAGTTGCCAATTAAAGGTCCTAATGTAGGTGTGTCACTACCTTTCAATTGACAACTTTCTACACCATCGTACAGCAAAAGATCTCTCTATGCATTGTGATTCTTTAAAATACATTTTATTTAATTTTGTATAGAAAATGATCCAAATTTAAAGTCAAAACGTTTACTTATATCTTGTTCTCATGTAATAAATTTCAATTTTAATACACAAATATCCAGTGTATAGTTCTTATATTTATGTATGGTTCTGATTATTTACTTAAATTTTCTCGTAAAAATATTTGCAATTCATATTCGATAACTACAAACACTGATCATTTCAAACTAGACACATACTAAAATACATTTATCAAGAGAGAATTACTTATAAATTTAAATAATTATATACTTATAATTGGCTGTAACCATCAATTAGTTACTACAGTTAAAGTAAATGTTCCAATAGCGATCGCATTAAAAAATATTATTTATTATAGCATTTTACAATTACAAATAATAATTATTGCGTAAAAAACTATAAACTATATTTCATGATTAATTGCTAAAGAAAAGTAGGTCAAATAAAATATTGTTGTATAAAAAAAAATTATTAAAGAAGCTTGCGTTTATGATTAGACAAAATGATGGCCAATCATTAGCAAATTCATTAAAGTATAAAATGTCCCAATGTTTAAGCGTAGCTTATCACAAATAATACAATTTCTGATGTTAGAAAGGTTTGTAATATAAATATCTTGTATTCATTTAAAAACTTAAAACTCCTCTAAACAAAGAAAAATTATTTGAACCCACTTACAGCAATTTTTAATTGAAATATTTAAATGAATAACAGAGTGCGTCAATGTATACCAATAATGGCCGGACAGCCAAAATAGGTGTGATCGCCAA